TTGAGAATGATGATGTAAAGGATTTTGCCTGTTCCAAACTAAAGGAGAGAAGGATCAGATGTACAATTCATTTATATTGACTCGATTTTATGGATTGGACCAAAAAACAAAACACAAAAAGACAACAAAAAAATGTTAAACAGTGCAGCCATTCCATCTTATATTCTGGACGAGAAGCATATGCCCTGGAAAGAGAGAGAGTGGGAGATATGAATCTGCAGATCCCTGCGTCAATCTCAGTAGAGCGCCGGAGTTAAGAGTACAGCTCCTCCCAATGCTGTGCTCAGCGACATCACACCGGGAGTTTGAAATTGGCCTCGGTGAGAATATTTACACCACGGATATTGGCAAATGCTGCAAATCAGGATGACTTATGTCAGGGAGCTGGCTTACCAGCACATCACTCCTCACCTGTCTCGTGGGGACATTTTGACACCCTGCTTTTAGTGTCTAAAGGTATGGATTTTTTCATACAACACGAAGCTTCCTTGTAAGTCGACTATTTCGTCTGGTGCTCAGTATAAGAAAGAGCGAGCTGTTCCTGCATCGGAGGAAAAGTTGACTGCTTTGGGCTCATGCAGAAAGCTGGTTTTGTGTCTGTAGGTCCATAAAGTCATATTTATGTCTAAAGCTATCTTGTGATTGATTTCAGGTTTTTTTTCAATATATATTCAAGATATTTCAAAGGTAATTGTGTGCTAATTTAAGACCATAGTCACTGTGCAAGCCATGGCTTCCAAGTGGGCTTATTCCTGTATGTGTGTCCCGGAAATTATTCATTTTGGTGTTAGTCACTGGGAGACTGGGCCAGATGTAACTAGGGACCAGAGCTGCATCTTGATACACTAAGCCAGGGATACTTCATTGCTGTGATAATCATGATTTGCTCAGAATTTACTGAGAATCCTGGTGATGTTTTAGAAGGAGCATTCGCTTTCACAGAGTTAAGGGGTTTGGGGGGTACAATCTAGAATTTGTAACTAACTGTATTGAATAAATAATTTCACTTCTCTGGGCTTTGGCATCTTCATCCAAGGGATGAAGGGCATTGTAGTGGATAATCTCATGTCTCCTCTAGCTCTTCAGAAGAGAAAAATGAAACCAGTTTACAGCCAGTGAGTAGCCTGCAGTTGTAAAAAGACAGTATGCATATAAATATGCAACATCATACGCTGTGATTGAAAAAGATACTATGTGCTACTGCCCCAATATGTCCCCTTCATGTGTCCTCTGGCCCCCATTATGTGAGTTTCTGCATAGGGTTAGAGCAATATTGTAGCAAGGAGACTGGAAGAATAACTCTACCATTTCTGAGCTGTGTCTTTGGGCACATTACTTAACCTCTGTGAGTCTTAGTTTCTTCATCTATAGATGGATAGGTTGAACATCTACTCACAGGGCTGTTGAAGATTAAGTACATGAAAGGGCTTCATAAGGTAAAAAGAATAACTCAAATATTGTTTTGTTTGTTTGTTTGTTTGTTTGTTTGAAACAGAGTCTCACTCTGTTGCCCAGACTAGAGTGCAGTGGCGTCATCCTAGCTCACTGCAACCTCAAACTCCTGGGATCAAGCAATCCTCCTGCCTCAGCCTCCTGAGTAGCTGGGACTACAAGTGAATGCCCCTATACCTAGCTAATTTTTAAATTTGTTGTAGTGACTAGGTCTCACTGTGTTGCTCAGGGTGTTCTCAAACTCCCAGCCTCGAGCAATCCTCCGGTCTCAGCCTCCCAAAGTGCCATGGTTATAGGCATGAGCCACTGCACCAAGCCTCAAATATTAATTAATATTCATCATTGTAGCTTGGAAAGTGATTAATGATGTCAGAATTACACTGAAATTCTCCATGCTTCACAATAATAGAACAATAGCCTTAAAAAGAGATGAATATTCTGTCTAGAGCATTCCAAGACATACCAATTGTTTATAAACTATTTCATGAGTTATAAAGAGTTCATTGGTCTTTTTTTTTTTTTTTTTGAGACAGAGTCTCACTCTGTTACCCCGGCTAGAGTACCGTGGCATCAGCCTAGCTTACAGCAACCTCAAACTCCTGGGCTCAAGCGATCCTTCTGCCTCAGCCTCCCAAGTAGCTGGGACTACAGGCATGCGCCACCATGCCTGGCTAATTTTTTTCTATTTTTAGTAGAGAGAGGGTCTCGTTCTTGCTTAGGCTGGTTTCGAACTCCTGAGCTCAAATGATCCCCCAACCTGGGCCTCTCAGAGTGCTAAGATTAGAGGCTCTTTGGTCTTTATACATTGACGGTATGTCTTGGAATGTTCTAGACAGAATATTCATCTCTTTTGAAGGCTATTCTATTATTGTTAAGCATGGAGAATTTTAGTGTAATTCTGACATCATTAATCACTTTCCAAGCTACAATGATGAAT